GTGATGAGGAACTAAGGCCATCATGAAGTGACCTTAAGTGATCATCATTGTCTTTCCATCTGTATCCTGATGACAATCAAGCAACTCAAAACTTCAATAGGACTATACATAGGACAAAGAGACTAATACTAACACTAAATAAAAAGGAGAAATGTGTACCATTTGGTCTCTTCAAATCTTGGGGTAGAGGCCGTGCCACAGCACGGCCCATCTCCTCTTTATCTTTACTGGTTCTAGAGCAATCATCCTACAACATGAAATTAAAGTAGATAACTTTTAACTACTATCCACTCTAACTAGTTGTTAAGGGTCTATTTGGATGAAAATGATAGCTAATCCCGAGCTCAATAAACTTATTTTTGAAATTTCATCAAACTCATTTAATTTACGCCCTTCATTTTAAAATAAAATTTACAATTTGACGTCACTTAGTTTAGGAAAAATGTAGAAAAGTGTGCGACTGAAATTTGTTTAAAAGAGAGTGAAATAATGTAGGCCGCATATCCTTTTCATTAAAAGAAAAAAGATGAAGTGTTAAGTTTACTTGAATCGGACTAGAAAAAGACAACAACAACAAAGCTTTATCCCACTAGGTGGGGTCGGCTACATGGACTAGAAAAAAAAGTGTGAAATTTAAGCATATTTTATTTTTCCCTTAACATTTCTTTCTCTTCCCCAATATTTTCTTTGACCCATACATGCCCTAAATGAGATAAAGCCAATCAAGAAACGTCCCAAACAGATTTATGACACTAGCCATGAACAAGATTGAAAGAAAAGAACACCAAGCATTAAACTGCAAGCCAAACAGAGAATGCAACATTTACCAATGATCTAACAGGAGAGCACAAAACAGAACTTTCATCTCCTGTAATCAGAGATGGCTGCCCACTTCTCCTGCTACTGCCACTACTTGAACCACCCTTGAAAATCTTGCACAACCACTTCATAAAGCTTGATTTTCTCTCTGAGTATGCAGAAACAGCATCACCTGCTTCAATAAAAACGCCGAAAAAACAAAAAAAAAAATCCAATCTTTACACAATTAAGAACGCCACCGAATCACCGCTATGAAACAGGGTGCACCCCAATCAGCAAAAAGATTCAAACTTTGAACCCAAACATTACCATAAATGCAAGGCTGGGAAAGATGGTTGACAGTAGTTGAAGAAGAAGAAGAAGACATAGCTTGTAGGGGGGCCAAGAATGAGAATGGCTAATAGACGACAGAGACCCAGAAAGAGAAGAGATGGAAGAAATGGAGAAGGGCATCATTAATAAGCTTTTGGAGATGGAAAGAGAATCTCTGGTAGGGGAAAGAGATTCTTGGCTTGTGAGGGAGAAGATGAATTGGGGAATCTGCTGATTAGGTTTGGGATGTAAAAAGGTGAGACTGCAGAGTGGGTTTTGGACGGCTTAAAATTTGGGGCTTTTTTTTGGGGGAGAGAGAGAGAGAGAGGGGAGAAATTCAAGAATCTGAGAATTTCTTCGTAACTGTTCTTTCTCGTTCGAATTTCCCACAAGAAAGTTGCCGGGGGGAAAGCAAAGATGGAGTTTTCCTTCCGTGTGGTCCTTCAGGTTCCTTCTATTTACAAAACTGGCCCGCTCCTTTTTTTTTCTTTCCGGTCTCCGTCGTTGACTTTTTTTTAACCTTTAAACTTACAAAATCTGATTATATTCTACCATTGACTTGATTTTTTTTCACTTTAGTTCTCAAAAAACTGCCATATTTTCAAAGAAATCTTCAAGAACAAGCAATTGCTCCCAACAAGATTTTCTTTTCCTTTCTTTTATTAAAAATAATGGAGATTCTATAAAAAGTACGGAGTACTTAATTCTCGAACAACTTGATTATAGGCCCTTATTCCTAGAGATCTTAATTTGACTATAATATTAATAGTTTAACGGCCTGGTTCTAGTGACACCGGAGAACGGTGCCACTGGGTTTTTGGGACACCTCCGGTACTCCATTCGTAAAATTGACGATTCCTACCTCCTAAACCCCTCACCCTACCCCCACTCCAACCCCGCCGTAACCCCCCCCCCCCCCTTCACAAAATGTGTGGCTATTATGCATTGCATAATAGCCACACATTTTGGGGGGGGGTTACGGCGGGGTTGGGGTGCAGGAGTGGGGATAGGGTGGGAGGGTTTAGGGGGTGAGTTAGGGGGTAGGAAACGTCAATTTTACAAACGGAGCACTGAAGGTGCCTCAAAAACTCACTGGCACCACTAGTGGCACCGTTCTCCGGTGTCACTAGAATTGAGCCGATAGTTTAATGCTCCCTTTCTCGCCCAATAATCTTTATACAGAGTATTTTAGAAATATGAGGTTTAGTTTTATTTATTTTTAGTTTATTTAAATATTAGAGTAAAAATTTAAAAATAAAATTTATGTATATAAAATGTAATAAATATCTGTACTTTCATTTTAATATTTGAATTTTGGATGTTAATTTGTGTACGGTTTTATCATAATATGATATTACATCATTCCATTGCAAAGTACGAAGTAGAATGGTACTTCGTACCAAATAGTATAGTTTTGAGGTTCATCCCGCATTGATACACTATTGTCTTTAAATACGCGTGTGTATTATAGGTTATGGTAGTTCCACGAAATCTACCCACTCATATAAAATACTCTCTCCGTCCATGTAAGATATTCCCATTACGCGTTACGAGGCTTGACCGACTTTATTTTCAATTCAATTTAATTCATTATAGGAGTAAAATTATAAAATAAAATTTATATAATAATAAACTACATAAAAAGTTCTACAAAACTAGAGGTGACAAGACTATATTATTTTATGAAATGACTAGTAAAAATGAGCAAACAAAGTGATTAAAGTTTGACCCTGTGAATAGTGTCTGAGAAGATCTATGGTGGACAGAGAGAGTAATAAAGAGAGTGATGGATTGAGGATCTAAAAGTAGTTTTTTAAATTATGTTAAAGTCAAAATAGAAAGTTTTTTGAGAGAGGTAAGAAACACATAGACTAAATAATACTCGTACAAAGTATAGTGTTGCATAAGCCGGGCTTGGAATATATTCTCTTCGCTCCAATTTAATAAATTTTCAGTTGTTTTTATTTACGAAACTTGACTGAAATTATTTTCAACGTGATTTATTTGAAAATTGGCATGAAATTAAAAAATAAAAATTATGCATTTAAAAACTATTTTAATATGTATAAAACAGGAGTTGACAAGAATAGTTTATTTTATCAAATGAATAACAAAAATAGATAAATGACACGATTAAAGTTTGACCTTAGTTAATACTACCTCCGTCCCATTTTATAACGTCTGTTTCGGTTTACGATGTTTGACTGAAATTATTTTCAAACCATTTTATATGACAAATGGTATAGAATTAAAAAATAAAAATTACTATTAAAAAACTACATTAAAAGATATACAAAACTAGTAGTGACAATAGTACTTTATTTTATCAAATTGCTAATGAAAATGGTGAAAGAAAGTGAATGGAGTTTGACCATGTAAATAGTGAACATACATTATAATTTGGGACGGAGAGAGTACATTTAAAATAATTTAAATTATAAATTGTGAATAACACCTACTCTCTCCGTCCTAAATTATAATGTCTGTTTATTATTTACAAAGTCAAACTTCATTCATTTTCTTTTTCTATTTTCGTTAGCAATTTGATAAAATAAAATATTATTGTCACTACTAGTTTTATAGATCTTTTGATGTAGTATTTTAATATGTAATTTTATTTTTTAACTATATACCATTTGTCATATAAAATGATTTGAAAATAATTTCAGTCAAACATCGAAAATCAAAACAGGCGTTATAAAACAGGACGGAGGGAGTACATTTAAAATAATTTTCGTTTACTATAATACTTCAATCACATAAACCTAAAGTTATAGAATATGACTCCTATATGCGAAATATGAATTATACCCAATATAGGGAAAAATCGAAGGGACATGTTTCTTGGACAAACTAACAAATTACTAGACTTGAGGCCCCATTCTCATTTATTTATTACTCATTCTTCTTAGAATCAATCAAATCAAATTAAATTAAAGTCACACCGATCATCTCAGATACATTCATATTAGATTAGATCCATACATATCTGATCAAATTTATTCAAATAAGATCAAACTAGAAAATTGAAAAATAAACAATAATCCGATACGATTCTGTTGACAATGCAAATTAGTGTTAATAGATGACACTAGCACCAACGAGATCAAACTTATTTAAATAAGATCAAACTAGAAAATTGAAAAATAAACAACAATAATACGATGCGATTCTGTTGACAATGCAAATTAGTGTCAATAGATGACACTAGCACCAACGATGCCTCATTCACAAAAATAATGATTTTGATCCCCCTAACCCTCCCGGTAAACTCCACCACGCCATTCAGTTTGGATCCAAACTCATCCCCTACCTTCGTAAATTGCACCGCAAGTTTAATTAATTTTAGAGTAAAATTTTTTCTACTAATATTTTTGGGAAAAAATGTATAACCCTAAAGACCCTGTGGTCCAACAGCATCAAGGTGACTCTTCTAAAAAAGATGTCACATGTTCAAATGTTAGTTAGATTAGAACTATATGTATTTTAATGAGTTGAGATATAATACATCTACAGAAGTAATAAATTAGTGTTCNGGCAGGGGGTTAAGTATAATATGCATGCGAATCAATGCGCCATTTTCTTTTAAATTTTGCTGTTGGACAGTTACTCAACTGCGGGCGACCAAGTTGTGCCGTGATACTCTCCATTTTCTCATTTTTTTTACTCTAAAAAGGCTTTTAAGAAGGAATAACAGATTGGAGTACTTATAATATACATCCACTCATAGTTATACGTTCGTCATGAATACTTTTTTGAGCAACTGAGTACTCATTTTCGAGCATAAATTAATTTTACAAAAATATACACTCAGTTACTTGAAAATGAATATTCATTTTTGAATACTCAAGTATGAGTAATTAACACATAAGTGACATAACAATGTTACCAAACCACACATTATGTATATATCTCACTGTCTGGACAAAGAATGTCCATATAAAAGCCCAATCGAATTACTTGACGGAGTAACTTATTATATAACCAACTACGATTTTGGAAATCCTCCAAATTTCAGGTTCAAATGAGATAAAAATGAAATGCCTATATTGAACAAGAAGCATTTTTTTTTGCCTTTCAGAGTTTGCATATTACTCGTATTTATGGACTTTTGCAAAATAAATAAATAAAAAACAAACCTTGAATGTATAGAACCTCATTTCTTTATTAATTTCAGAACATCACCCACCAAGTGTAAAGAGCCTGTTACAAGGACCTGCATATATTTTAAAGATAAATTGATGAATCGTATTTCAAAACACCAAGGACCGATTATCCTAGCTAGTTAAATCAGGTATTATACACATACATGTATAATGTGCAGGTACATATTTAAAAACCATGAATGCATATTTCTCCCCAAAAAAACTAATTTAAAGTAGGTGGTTTTGTTATATATCGGATCGTAAGTATTATAAGTATGTCGTATTTTACTAACTAAGCCCGTTATAGCTTAATCTGCTGAATTTTATGAAAAAACAAGTCTTGGGTAACATTCATTTAAAATAAGTTGAAAGTCACTTATTCTGATAATAATAATAAGCAATATAATAAGCCAGGGTGCCAGCTGGAGACTAAAATCTCCAATGATTATGTCTAATCCAAAAGCTTTGGCTTATAAGAACTTGTAAAACGACAAAGAAATGTGTACCTGAAAGCGAACAGACTTGTTGTTTCGAACGTTATCCCTGAGCCAATTAATTGCAACTGGAAGTGATGGGAATACAGTGCTGTTTTCACAACTTCGAGCTCCTTTGAGCGTATCATCTATCCCTTCGTCACATTTTTTATCCACGTGTTTCACCATTTCCCTGCCTGTGAGTAAATGGCCAAACTCAAATAGTCAATCAGTTTGCTATTCACCATAGCATAGCACCACAAGTTTTTCTATGGAGAGGACAATCCTCCAACACATGGAGAGGACCATACAAATGTGGGGCTCGCGTGGCAGGTTCTTCGCCACATATCGTTCAGAGTGCTTTTGGAAATTGGAATGTGATTTATTTCAAAATAATCACTGCTTTTTACATGAAAAGTGTTTTTATAAACAGAAAACAAAGGTTCGGCACAGAACTGGAAAAACAGTAGTTCTCAGAAACACTTTATTTAGCTTATCTAGGAAAACATTGGTTTGAAGTTTTTTTTTGGAGAGGAAACACCTTAAAAGAGAAAGCACTTATAGCACAAGTCATCCATGTTAAAGTCTTACCCCAGAATATGAATATATATATATATATATATATATATATATATATATATATATATATATATATATATATATATATATATATATATATATATATATAAAAGAGGGAATGAGGAGGTAATAAGATATTGAGTTGAACTAGTTAATTGGTTGGATTCAATCTTTTTTATTTTAGCATTGTCTATTCACCTCGCTAAAAATGTGGGGGCGGGGGCAACATTTCTGCTCCCGCCAACTCACTAAAGAAATGGGTTTCTTATCCGGCTAGGATGGCTATGATGGGGTTGCTAATCCGGGTAGTTAGACACATGTGATATCATCTATGCTACCTAACTCTTTACAATCTAAAATCTCATTCTTGATTCCTAACACTTCCAAATAATGAATCAAACATGCCCTTAGCGTTGCTTGACCATCTTATACCTCATTTTGTTTGTGCTACCCATTACATTCACTGAATCCAATAGTAATGCAGAACACATGAACTTTTATCAACAAAATGAAATTGCCTAAATATACATTCTAGTAATCAATTCATTCATTTTTTAAACTATGTATATCTTGAGTTTGTACATATAAAAGGATGCATACCTTTCTCAGTAATAAGGTTTTCCCAGAACCTTTGAAGATTCAACTGCCAAGAGACATCAATTTGATTATCTGCTGGGTTCAAGGAGCTGGTACCCACATTGTAAAAGGATGATGATGTGTTGGGAACAAACAATGCCTTCTTAAAGTGAACTCCTAAAAAAACAAAACACAAATGAAACAATTGGAGTTGCCTCCAAATTGAAAATGCTAAGACTCATGTCTTTTTATGTGATAAAGTAGCAAACCATTACAAATGAAAGACACCGAGCAAAAATTGTATCAGTGGTTCAACAATTAAACCAAGATTTGTTGACTATCAAAGTGATGATATGCTTGTTAGACGCAAAATTAGGCAGATGAAAACGAGATTTCAAGGCTAGAAATGAGGCAGTTCGTTTTGTCTAAGAAACGTTTACAGTTAAAAATTTTAAATAGAAAAAGCCTTACCCAAGGCCCTTAAGTTGACCAAGAAAACATTAACTTAAAGTAAAAAGCTCTATTCAAATGTTCACCATGCATTGCACAAGCACTCATCAGGCGTGGAAGGAGCAGTTGAGGATCCCTCACCGACATGCAATTAAATAACAGAATCTGCATTTACCATGATTTTTAGTTTGAAAGCATTTATAGGAGAGCATGACAGTTGACAAAAGCAATATTTTTTTCTTTTAAAAAAATGTGGCCTCAATTAAAAAAAACATCAACTTATGAAACAAGAGAAATCAAGGCATCAGTTCCTGTAGTTGGAATAATACAAAAAAGGTATTAGTTGACAAGGCAAAGAAAAGGATGCATTCATCTATACTAGTGATATTCTTTATTTTAAAATTTCAAAATAATTTTTTATTTCTTTATATAATAATATCAAATTATAGAAATTACATTTTCTCATGCAACGCACGGGTGAAATACTAGTTTTAATTAAAGGCTGAGCATAATATATGGGAATTTCCTGAGGTAAGCCTTGGGCTTGAGATATTTCTTTAAATGATCCTCTCATGTGGATACTTCTTAAAATAACTATGAAGTACGCTATAAGATAGAAAGTTGGTGATGCAACCCTATGGTTAAGAGCATATTTGAAAATGACCATTTGATATACACAGTATGTTTCCTAATATAATTCTGAGGTATGATAAAAGACTTGTTGATGGAGGGATAATGAATTATTAAACATGTAGTTGGCAGACCCACACTCACTCATAACTCATGAGATAGACTAATTACCCATGACATAAATGTCATGCGTTTTTAGAGTTTGGGTTTCTAGTAAAGCAGGCATTATATTAAGAGGCATGGATGAATGATGGTTATTTTGAGGAATACCCAAACGTTAGGACATAAGGGTTACCTCTTGGTAATACACTGCAATATTATACCTGTGTAGAACTTTTCTTTGGCTTCTGGAAATTGTCTATCTGTGGTGATTCATAAGAAGCTCTAGTCTGGTGTGCCTCATTTTTACAACTGTGTTGCCAGTGGTCATCCTTGATAGCAAGGGAAAACCATTTACCGCACACATCCATGCTTTCAGGACTATGAGCACCATCCAAGTAGAAAACAAGATCCCCTGCACTTTCACTTTCTATTACTCTATCGGGTTCAATTTGAGCCCTTCCTTGTAAAGTAGCATTTGCCAATCCTGCCAGAAATTGCTCGGGCAGAGATGCCTGTATCCACAAAAAAACCACAAATAAAGTCACTTTAAAAAAACAAGCCCTGAAAAGAAGGATCAACATTTCTTATGCTGATCGTGCAGAGATGTATGCCCGTTTATAAAGAACAAAAAAAACAACAACAAGAGGTGAGCACAATAAGAGGGCAAAAAACTTTTGAAACTCACTGTGTCCTTTAAATAATCAACTTCAGCATGACCAGTTCTCTGAAGCCAAGTAGAGCATAATGCCACAGCTAGACCAGCATTTGTATATTGGTGTTCACCCCTAAGACCAAGATGAATTCCGCTATGTAAACTGGCATCCAATGGGGCTGCCACTTCAAGATCTACCTGCAAATAGGAGATTCTAGTTTGTTTACATCGGCATAAGAAAAAATGATTAGAAGTCGGAAAAGGATTGCACCAAATAATTACATGGGTAACAGTAATTTTAGTACTGCATTTTTAAGTTAAAAAACAAAAAACTTTTGAGAGACTGTGGTCTAGCACTATAAGTGATTAAAAGAATCTAAGCTTACATCTAACTCGGAAGCCTTCTCTTTAAGCACATGCATAGCTTCATCAGGCTGGGACGCGGTAAAAGCTGGAACTCCACGCTGCATTATAAGAGAAACAGTTCCGGTCTAGAATAATGCAATAAACAAAATAAAAATAGAAGTAAAATTTTCAGACAAAAGCTACAATAGGTTTAAACTATAAAAGAATATGCCCTTTGTCCCAGTGTTTTCGTCCACTTTCGGTTTTGCTCTTGAACCAAGGAGGAGAGAATTAATGAGGGAAGTTACAAAACTGCCCTTTAGCCTAAGCAGGCTATAGACGGGTTCATTCCTGAAAAATACGGAGTACATCTTACAATTCATGTTTGGTGTGGGTGAGAAAAATCTCTGAAAGGGACGGCGGAGATCAAGAACTGAAAGCAGCAAGCCTATCTCTAGCATCTCAGAAGCAATGTCACAGATCAAGAAGCCACAACGCGGATCTATCGCCAGCGATCTGAGAAGCAATGCGTACAGATCTGTGTCTCTTGCAGCAGTGGTCAAGATGCAATAACGACAAACTAAGTTTTGGATACTTGATTGTCAATTATAGAAGAATCAATGGTAAAATCATTTTTTTGACTATTGGTTTTGGATATTTGGTGAAATACAATGACGAAAGTGTTTTTATGATTTTTGGCATTGGATACGGGGTATTTTAGAAATTGCAGAAATCAACTATGGTGTTCGTTCTTGCAGCGGTGAATTTTGGCAGAGAAATCAACGATAGTAAAATTGAATATAGGGATACTTTTGGCTATGGATTCTTGTGTGGAGCAGAGATTTTCGAATGCAGATCTCAACCATCACCTGCATTCGGAGAGAAAATGGCATAACAGGAGTGAATTTGGTTGGTAGTGAGAAAAAGCTCAACCGCAGATGAATTTTCTCAGCCGAGTAAAGGGTTTTGAGTTTGGGCAAATTGGTCATTTGAAGCTCAATAACTTACCAGAAATAGAAAGTGGACAAAAATAGTGGGCCCCAAAAAAGAAAAGTGGACAAATACAGAGAGACGGAGGAGTATATATGATTTCTTTTCTTAGGAACCTTGAAGATTCCAGCTTTCTCTCTAGCAATTTGCCCAAGTGTATTTCCTGCTAGGAAAGAAATAGAAGTCAGACAGTGAGGCAACTGCAAATTTTAGGGGCAGCTGCAAGCTTTTGACCAGAATTATAAACAGGAAAACACACTGAAATTTCGGTTAGTTTTGATTTGCCACTTGGGCAAGACTATTATGTAAGGACTTTGTTCAAGTGGAAACCAAGGGAAAAGGCCCAACTGGGCTGTGCCAGACACTCCCCACATCACGGGGTAAAGGGAAGACCACAAGGGTATGAACTTGACCACATGCAGCCTCCCCCTAACAGTTTTGACCAAAAAACTGTTTTGATGGTGGTTTGAACTTGACCTTTTGGTCACCTAAGGAGCATCCGTTGTGCCAAATCTCACCCTCTTCAAAGTAGATACCAACCAAACAGATATTGAGTATGTAATATGACTCTATTTTTAAAATGTATGTATTATGTTAAAGCAGTTGTCATGTTATAACACATCCACTAATCACTATGTATTCACTCAATTGATAGTCCAAAGGAATTTATTAGAATGTACCACAAATCAACCTTTTCACACAATTCATACACCAAAAAAGGTCACACACTCAATTTGGAAATAATAAACAACAATTGAAACCGAGAATAAAAGCATAATTGCAAGTTTGGTTCCTGCATAGTCTTTGCAGGCACTTCATAAGATTCAGTACTTTAGAATTTATATATAACTAATATAAAAAAAATCAGTTCAAAAATAAACTATAGATTTGATTAGCAACAAATGCTATCACGGCCAATACAAATAGAAGAGCCATTTAGAAGTGCTTGAATGCAATCATAGATTTCAGGTGTCTCCGGTAGGCACTCACTCTTGTAAGTATGGTTCCTTATCAGAAATTTCAAACATAATAACTTGGCAAAACTAATTCATCATGGAATGGGCATCATGATAGAAAAATATGTCAACTCATCTCTGCCTTATGAAAATTACATGCAAACCGATATAACCTAAGATGATGATGGGCCAGGATTTTTTCATTTCATTAATCCTTCTAATGAAGGTTGATACAGGAAGGGTAACCAGCGTAAAATTAATGTTTATTATTTTTGTACGATTACCTGGCACCATAAATTTAGTGCCACAACTGCCTCGTTGATTACCAATGGAGCTAATAGAGACAATTTTTACAATGTTTTAGCCACTTTTAGCTTTAGCCTTCGGGTAAATGGTGGCCTAAATTGAGATGGCACATGAAACTTCCTTTTCTTTTCACTTTCTATGAAGTGTTGGCATGTTGGGCAGTAAATGCATCAAGTGTCTAGGAGAGAGTCTCTCAATTTTTAACAAGGGATGGCGTACATCCTGACCGTGAAGACCCCAATGGGCCAACGGAGTTGCGGTTGTTCTTGGTTTGTTGTTGTTGATGCCAACAAGTTTGGATTAAGGTTGTGATAGTGATTAGTGATGATGATGATAGTGATAAACAAGTGGCTAAACTTAAGCAGATGACTTTGCTCAGGCCCAACTTACATTAGAAGAAACCAAGGGCAGAAAAAAGAGAAAACAGAAATAAAATACACCGGGTTGTTGCCTGGTAGGAATAAAGAAGAAGCACTAACCTAAAATTTCCATATGGTCATACCCAATGGAAGTTATACCACAAACAACTGGCTTCTCAACCTAAAAGGCAACAAAAAACATTAATATCTCAAAAGTCCAGCAAAGCTGACAATTTCCAGACCAAACATGTTGCTTTTAAAAAAATGTATTAATTTCAATTCCCTACCACATTAGTTGCATCATATATTCCACCTAAGCCAACTTCCAATATAGCAACATCCACCTGCACAGTTACATAAAACCCAGTTTAAAGGAATCCATATTAAGCAATGAGTGAACAGCCTCTCTACTTTTGGGAAGGGGCAAGGTCACACACCCTCCCCAGACCCTACTTTTGTGGGATCCAACTGGGTTGTTGTTTTTGTGTATGTTAAGCAGTGAGTGAATAACATATGGTTGATGACTAAAATTCCACCACAAACATGGAGTTGCATCCCTATGGCATCACCACAGCAGATGGCACTTCACAAATTGTGTGCGATAATTGCCTCAAAATCCCCCATGGTATCACCGAGGCCACTAGTTATGAACACCTCAATTATGCTATTATGAACTGATACAGTGACTGTAAATGTGTAATGCTACTTGTACTAGTGACATGCTAGGTGATACCTGCTCTGCAGAAAAAATCTTGAATGCAAGCAATGCAAGGAAGCGAAAATAAGTAGGCATCGGTACTTTGTCAGAGGTATTATCCTGCAAACATATAATAGTGAAATCAACTACAACTGTGTTTGATGATAAAAGTATAGAATGAAAAAATGTGTAGTCTTCCAAGTCGCTCAACCACTCAAGACAATCTTCCCTTTTCATCATTTGTACAAATGAAGTGGTCAAGACACAAATGCATTGCTGCAAACATTTTATACATCCAAGAGATGGAAATGTGAACAAAATGAACTTAGTTTTTTATCCTCAAGTAGCAAGTAAAAAGATCAAGAAACAAATTCCTAGCTTTGATATCATTCCTAGAGACTATCAAGAGGCAACAAGAACCAAATGAATCCACTCTTAGTTCAAATTCTTTAATCCTAAAAGTTACTTTCGTGTATCCATGGGTAATGCTAACAGTAAGCAGGAAGAAATGACCTTTACAAAACTGGACCTACTGACAATTCCATACTTCTTCCGTTCTATGAGGTAAAAACAGCTGTCTGGGAATTCATGCATACTCCGCATTTAATAACTGTCTCGGTCTCTTGGGAATTCATGCAAATTATTTATTTCTTCCCTCCTCTCTCTCTTTATTTTTATTCCTCAAAATTGGAGGAGATTTCCCCTCCCTTCAAACCACACAGATGATAAGTGGACATACAGAACAACTGTAACGGATGAATAACCCATACACTATCTTACATGCCTTGAGTCTATTGTAGCACCACCAGAAATAAGTCAAAAACTTTTCTTCACTAATGTCTGCCCTGAAAGAACCAAGCGACAGTAGAAGAGTTAAGAGAGCATTCAAGACATTGTGACCACTGAACATTTGATGCACATTATACGGGAAAAGGAGATGCTGATTCATAAATCATATTCTCTGACTATTACTGTCACCTCCCATTTGGAGAAGAAATTCAATATAATTTCAGTTGTGAGGTATAGTTCAATTGAATAAACCATTTCACCACAACAGACAGCGCATGTAGCAATTACAACCCTCTCCAAAAGGATATTATATGCAACAAAAGTAGATCTCAATGATAAAATGAAAAACAAGTCAATACATGGGGATCAAATATCTAATAGCCAAACATCTGATTTCGCCAAACAGTACAGTATTATTTACATAATGGCAAGACAGTTACACTTACCCATCTAATTGAAATCTTTCTCTAACATCAATGAGATGAGGAGATGTAAAAAGCCCGGTGTGGAAACCACAACTACGTAATATAGATTCTGAGAAAGTGCAAGTTGACCCCTTCATCACACGATAAAAAAAGAATGAATAATTCAGCAATGATAAACAAACAAATACGGAGTAACAAGGTTGTGAATATTTACTCACAATTAATGGTATGAGAAGTAAATAATGAGTAACAAGCAGCACACAATACAAGTAGAACTACAATAGAAATATCATTGAAGCTACAATAAAGACACCTTACATAAACAAGCATAAATTGAAAGCAAATTTATAAGGCAGTAGCATGTTAAAATAATGTAGAATATATACCAAAACTCGATGCTAAAAGTAATAAGATTTCCTTAAATGAATTCATTTCATAAATTGGAACAATAAGGTGTTGCGCCCACTGCCAGTGGAACTAAACAGAGTCTTTATTGACAATGTTTTATCCTCGGGTAAATATTAGAATAAATAATAATTTCACATTAAGGTTACTTCTTACTTTCTATGAAGTGTTCAGCAATTAAGGTAACAATGCATCCAGGATCTAACCGAACCAGCCTCTATTTTTACAGGGGGTAAGGCTGCACACATCTAGGTTTCATTGTTGAAATAGTAAGGCTTCCAACTTTCAAGTTTCAATTAAACTTATAAACGGTGAAGTTGTTACCTTTCCCTTGGTACCAGTGACATGGATAACCTTCATCTTTTTTAATGGTTCCTCCAATTCCAGTATCTGTAGTTTATTAACAAACTAATTATTCTTAATGGATTGTACCTAATTATTCTTTCATTTCTAAATGAATCTCAACCAAAATTGTTTTCCTTAAACCATAATTATCATATGCAAATAAGGGGAACATTAAATAGGGAGCCCAATTTGCATTGTACCTTAATATAATCAAAAAGTAAATCAAATCTGTCACCGGTGCTATCTGCACGGCTACGCTTTATTATAAGAGAAAATAAAGCCTTCATTGCTTCATCATAAGGAGACATAACTGGTTTTGATGATTCACCTACACCTACAGCAGCTTCGCCAATCATTCACATGCATTGCATTCATTCACAAGCATTTATACACCAAAAAACTCACACAGCTGAATTATCAAAGAGGAATTTGGATTTCAGCCTAAAAATGATCAAAGAAATAAATTACTCCCTTCATTCCAAAATATTTGTCCTAGTTTGACTTTTACGTTAACTTTGACCACAACTTAAATATAATTTTAAAAACGCCCGGGTTCTTTTGAAAACCATTTTTGTTGTCGTAATAAAACACCAGCACCTACGGTGCTCCGTTCGAAAAATTGATGGTTTTTACCCCCTCCCCAAAAACGCAACTGTAGCCCATCGGTGTTTTCGGGATGAAGCCCAGGGTGCTGGGGTGGAAGCAAGGGCATTTAGGGGGTAAGAATCATCAAGGTATTGTCATATTATGACAACAAAAGTTGTTGTCGAAAGAAGGGAGCCGTTTTAAATAAATAAGAGTTATAAAAAATTGATATATCAAAACTACGGAATACATCTTAAAACGGACCCAATAATATTACATTTACATTATCGAAATTAGCATAAAAGTCAAATTAGAACAAATAATTTGGCCATACCACAAGACATCTTCATTTTCCCTGCAAAAAGAAGGTACTTAGGATTAGAAAACTGATTTTGCCATATACTCCCTCCGTCCATTTTTAATGTTCGTACTTTCCTTTTTCGTCCGTCCACAAATAAAGTTCATGTTTCTAAATTAGGCAAGAAATTATAAGTGAAATGCCTTTAATACCCCTCACCCACCACCCACTTTAATTTACTCCAACCACACCACTTCCCCAACTTTTGTACTTGTACTTTAACAATATTTTAATCATTTTCATTACTTTATCTATCCAATCACTACTATTTAACTTTATTCACCTTTACCTTTAATTTTAATTAACCAAAGGGCAAAGTTGGAAAGTCAAGGGTTTTTTTACATTTTCTTAAACTCCGTGCCAAGTCAAACTCTGAATATTATTTATGGACGGAGGGAGTACTACCTACTAAATATCAACTGTATATGCATACAGAGATCGATCTCACTAGGAGAATAATAGCGGAGGGGCATGAGAGTGATGTTTGGCTCAGAAAGACGGAGTGCAACTCGGAATGGCAGTTGGCGGCCGGCGGTGATGGATGGACATGCTTGAGCGAAAATTATATCTTGGCACGGGAGCACCATCAATTCAGCTCCCGCGGTAAAAGACCGATTCGTACAAACATAATAACCATTGTAATTAAACAATAACACTCCTATACAAAAAGACTCACTCGTCTGGCTTTCTTTATGCAGCACGCCCCTAATTCTTTTCGAGCTCCCCAAATCTGATCATGAAATTCTCAGGTTCATATACTCTTCTTTTAATTCTAGAAACAAAACAAAAAAAAACTAGAAATGTGTTACCCCAACTCTAGATATTGCAAACCAATCTATGATGCAACTGATAGCAATGCTTTTACCCCGGCTTCTAAGAACATCTCCAATAAACCACACTAAACTCAAACTCAAAATGAAATAAACATCCAAAATACAGTAAACATCCAAATCCATCTCCAACCATTTACACCAAACTCAAAAGTCAAAACAATATTTCCAATTTATTTTTTCTCACTACTTCGTATCCATGCAAATTTAAATAATACTCCTGAAATAATAATAATAAAAAAGTAATTATTATGCTCTGTAGTGCTCATACCAATAAAACCCAAGGGAGATGAAAGGGGGGAGAAGGGGCCAATTGGTGATGAAGATGATCGCTCACGGGTCTAGATCTCCAGATTTAGCTTGGCGCTCCCAACTATTGCACAAAGTTTCTAGCGATTGCAATGGAGTTCTCGACTTCTACCGTGTTCATTTTTGTATTACAAATTGCGTTGGGAGAGGGGGACGATTGGAGAGAAAAAGCAGCAAATATTAGGAATTACCTTTCGATTGGAGATGCCCGGGTAATGAAATACAGTAGTTAGAATCAGGAAAAACTGAAATCTAATGAAATAATTTTCTGAACCTTCAAAAAAAATTACTCGTAAAACTTTGGGGTCTGTTTGGAAACCAGGAAAATAACCTGTGGAAAATGACTTCTGGAAAATGAGTTATTTCCCTAGAGTCATTTTCCTTTTTTGTTGTTTGGCTAAAAATCTGAAAACTATCTATTTCTGTTTGGATCATTTTCCAGAAAATGAATATCAAGAAAATGAATACCCCTTTGTCCACTTTGATTCTTCCTAGTTTGACTTTCATGGTTGACAAAAATAATGCATTGGAGAAACTTTCTCAATTGTCTGGTGTCCTTTATCCATGTTACTATACATAAATATCCAAATGAGTGAAAATGATTCACAATCTTTAAGGTTTACAAAAATAAAGAGGAGACAAAGATGAAGAACCAAAACTGATCTAAAAATGATTCAGAAGAAGCAACAATAGTAATTGCAGATTTGCAGCAAATTAAACATCACCACAATTCCTATACGAAAAATACAACAGTTTACGATGAGGGATTATACCAAAACATAAAATCCTCTATTCTATAGAATTAATCAGATTCTTCGGAAAAATACAAAACCATTTAAATACATATAAAATCCTATATTCTATAAAATATCAGATTTGCTCTTATGGCTTACCTCCACCCTCTTCTTTAACAATAATATTTGTCTTCCAATATGCTATATTTTTTTTTCAAAATTACAAGAACAAAATAAAATTCAAAGAAAATTCTTAATTTTTCTGAAAAAAATCAACAAAAAAGAAGAATAGAGAAGAGAGAATTGGAGAGGCGAGAATTAAAAAGGAAAGGGAAGAGAGAAAAGAGATGAGCCATACCTGGATCAAAGAAGAGAGAAATCGAGCAGGCCGGATCGGATGAAGAAGTTGAGAGAAGATGAACGTTGATCGAACTATCCAAGTGGAGGAAGTGGAAGATGACTTCCATTGACCAAACTTTATTTTCATTTGACTTTCATTTTCCTTGAGCTATACCAAACGGTGAAAGGTAAGAAAATGACTCCAACGAATCTTTATTCCAGTTTCTTGTAAATTTTTTCAGTTTCTTCCATTTCTTCCAGTTTCCTCCATTTCCTTCTAGTTTCCTTTAGTTTCTTTCAGTTCATTCCAGTTTTTTCCAACTATTTTCACTTTCTTCATACTCTTTCGACTCCTCAACCAATTATCATAAAAACGATATATTTTAATGTGGTTATTATTATTATCGGCCCGGTTCTAGTGACATCAGAGAACGGTGCCACTAGGGGTGTCACTGTGTTTTTGAGGCACTTTCGGTGCTTCATTCCTAAAATTGACGGTTCTTACCCCCTAAACCCACCCGCTAAACCCCCCTAACCCACCCACAAAATGTGTGGCTATTATGCATTTACACATTTTGTGGAGGGTTACGGCGGGATTGGGATGGGGTAGGGTGGGGGGTTTAGGGTGTGAGTTAGGGGTTCAATTTTACGAACGGAGCACCGGAAGTACCTCAAAAACCTGGTGGCACCGTTTTCCGGTATCACTGGAATCGGACCATATTATTATTGCAATTGTTATTTTCATAACTATAGTTTATAAATTATGTTTTTTCATCTCACTATTTTTTATGATTGACACTCATTATTTTTTTCTTCAACTTTTTAATATGAATACGACAATTTTTTATATATTAGTCTACATGATAAAACAGGAACACATCAATATGTTAAATTATATTAAAAAATTATGAATAAAATAGTAACATTGAATATTTTATTAATCTAACTTTATAAAAGACCTCTTACCTTTCCCTTTATTACTTAAAATTTGCTCATTTTTTTAATTTCTATAAAAAAAATTTAAGTCAAAATAGTTTAGAAAAAAAGACTAAAATGGGAGTAAAAACATAATAAATGAATTTAAAAAAAACTATGTCTTTATTCCAAAAATATGACTTCAATAAAAATAAAATGTCAATCATGAAAGAAAAATAGGTTTGATTATATTATTTGACATGTCTGATATTTAAAACAAAATCTTGTAATATATAAATCATAATTACAAATATATTATTTATAATAAATACTGCATAAATAAATTAAGGTACAATATAACCACAAAGACTTTTTAAAATTTAATATTTTTTCTAAAAGTAGTTTTGTGTATTTTAAAAACAACAATACTTTTTTTGTATCTTAAAGACATTCATTAAGATAACGTGATGATGATGATGATGATATAATATGATGATAATAATAATAATTTATAACAACAAGATTTTAAAATAAATGTTTTAGAGTTTTCCATTTTTTAAAATTTTTTTCCAGTTTCTTCAAGTTCTTTCCAGTTTCTTCTAGTTTTTTCCAGTTTTTTCCAATTCCATCCAGTTTCTTCCAACATTCAGCTCTTTTTTCCAGTCATAAAGAACAGGCTCTAAATGTAAGATAAATAATTTAATGCAATTATCTCTTTATTATTTCATCCTTGTAAAAAATTCTTTTCCGTTTTAATTTGGCACCAAAATTTTAAAAAATTAAAAAGTGTAAAGATTTTTTGTATGTATTTATTAATTTTCCATATTTATTTCACAATATACAATAATTTAAGACCTACATAAAAATTACAATGTATTTATTAACTTAAAGTGGTAATTCAAATACAATTTGAGAGTAATTGATGATCAAAATTCATCATATATGATTTGAAAGAAATAAATTTGCACACTATGCTGGAGCAAAAGGAGTATACCCCATATATAACATAGTAGCTTTTAAATATGTGAATTTAATTTTTAAATTTTGTCTTTATTTTTAAATAAATTGAATTAAAAATAAAATTTATAAAAAAACACTAACTTTAAATTATCCGCAAACCCTCATCGTCCCGTGAGCTTCCTCGTCAAGCATTCAACAAAGTTGGGGGGTCTTCCAGGGAGCATTTCCACGGTCAAATAGCTCCCTTACTTCTCGTGATTTGCAAAACAAGCACCAATACCTCCTCTGTTTTTAATACTTATTTCTAAAATTCTCGTGGTTTCAAAATGTTGCACTCGTGACTCCTATGATCATTTTCCGACCATTTTTCCAGTGAAGAATGAGGCATTGGTGCATACTCCCTTCGCCCCATGTATTTGTCCACATTTGACTTTTGGAACTGTTCATCTAAGCATTTTGACTCATCAAATTCTCTCAATGTGTAAGCCTAAATATAGTCATGTGTGATCTTGATTGATTTGTCTTAACATATAGATTATTAATATATAATCTTTATACTTTTTTAATATACAAATTACAAGATAAAATGGATTAAAGAAGTGCATTGGATGGTGTGCAAAAATGAAAGTAGACAAATACAGGGGGACGGAAGGAGTATTTTTTAAACCATATAGAGTATCAATGCTGATTTTTATTTCTCGCTTATTTTTGTTTTTTCCATTTTTTCATTTATTAATAAAGGTGTTTTAAAATTATTTTTATAATGTTCTTAAAGTATAAAGTTATGAGAAATTTACCTAAATATGACTAAAACATAACGACTTTTCCAATATAGGACCATATGTTTTTATTTCCTAATGTAGGACCTTTAGTCATTATAAAGTAGTCATTATTCAAGTAAATATCCATTATTACTGGACATTATTCCTCCCATTAGATCATTATTAAGTCCTATTTAGGAAATAAAAAAGTTTAAGTCCTGCATTATGAAAGTCATTATGTTTTAGTCATATTTAGTGCAAATTTTACTAAAGTTATTTTTGTTTGAAAAAATTAACATATATAATGCATATGTTCGTCTCCAATAACAATTTTTGTTTTTCTGAAAAAAGTAATTTTTTTTAGAAACTATAGTTATGAACATAGCAGTTGTAATAATTATAATAATAATAATCACATTAAAAATATATCGTTTTATAATTGGGAGAATAAAAAGAACGAGAAGAAAATGAGAATAGTTAGAAGAAAACACAACTCTAAAAGTGGCAGACAAACTTGGAAAAACGTTTGGACATTTCAACCAAGAAACGGGACTGGACAACGGTGCATTCGATCATCCATTCGCGGATCTCCGCCACCGCTTTCACGATGGATGACGCTTTCAACAGCCTCCCTAGCAGCCACCTGCTCGGCTCAGTTCCGGTGAGCACTCTTCACTTTGTAGACTTAACTGTAATCATAGCTGACTTGCGTGCTATATTATCTGCCTATGCTTAATTTGCTATGATTCATCCAGATTGCTTAAACTTTAAGGAAATGCCATCAAGATAGTATGGAAACTTGGTCTAATTAGTTAGGGTCCGTTTGGTACACGGAATTGATGGAATTGGAATTGAATTGGAATTAAAATTCCATGGGATTCAATTCCATAGAAATGATTTCATCAATTCTAATTCATTTTTTGCACTACCAATTCCATTTCCACATAATTTTTGTGCTACCAAACACGAGAATTGGAATTCAAGTCCTTAATTCCAATTCCATAGTTTGAATTAAGGATTTTGAAATGTCGCTGCAATATTTGTCGCATTTCGGTTCAATTAGTGATCACCTAGTTCTAGATCATTTGAAAAGCATCTAGAAAGCGGAATATTGGTTTGAAAATGCCATCCACGGGTAGTTTTTTAAGTTAATATTTTCAAATATTGCCTTTATGTTCCACAAATTGGATCTGTCGAATCACTCTAGGCATATATTTTATAAAAATATACTAATATGGCATCATGACACATGGTTCATGGTTGTACTAATATGACCCGGGTTCATGGTCATTTTTATATTATCCTCCGTATATCTATTTTGAATTCCGAAAATTCCATAATTCTTGTATGAATTAAAATGTAATACATGAAATAAATGTGATATGTAGCTTGCTTGTCTTGTTCTCTCTTGTGCCTTGGGCATCTTGAGGTGATGAGAGTAATGTGCGGCTTTGAGATAGTTTTGTCTTGGTGGATGACTATTAGATCAAATTACATTTCTCTTGATAAATTAAATACTACTCCATAGAAAGTAGGTTAGGGGCTTTTTAATCATGTGATGGGGTAACAAAAAAAAGAAGAAGACCAGTTATTGTTCTTTACTGTTTGCATATTTTGATCATTCTTAAAATGCACGCACAGGCTGTTATCATTGAAGAAAATAATCAAAATACAAACAGTAGACACAATGGTATGTTGGGACTGGAAATATATGTTTTCACAGTGGTAACTATATCCACTAACGGACACTTTTTAATCTATTTCCTCTAATACTTTACAGTGCCTGAAGCAAACTTGCAGATATTTCCTCCAGATAATGGTGGGGATTCTAGCCAGGGATATCAAAACATTGGAGGTCCAAGTGGTATGCATCACTTATGCTTAGTCCAGTTAGTTTTCTGAATGAAATAGTGGCAAGGTCAAGTAGTTCAAACCTCAATGAAACTACCGGAGCTCCATGTGTAAATTTTAGGCTTGCGGGTCATTTATTAGCAGTAGAAATACTCTACCTAGCACTTGGATAAAGGCAAAATTATACAGAGAGTATTCATACTGTTAACCTGGTAGAGTGTTAACTCCATACATCATAGACCCAAGCGTCCTACACGTATAAGATTATGAATGAAATGAAGTTGATTATTTCATGGGTACGAACACCAGAGACAATACCTTAGATATGCCGTTAAACCGACTTCCAAAATTGCAGACCCAGATACATAGTGTGATGACTTTTATACTTGTACCCTAGTTCAATCATAATTGGTTGTTGGTCTTATTTTGTTGCTTCATCTGTTTCATATTCGTGTTCCAATATTGTCAAAAAAAATATTAGTGTTCCAATTTCATTGGACACAAAGTTTAAGAGTAATAGTGGTGGGTAGGGCATAGAGAAGAGATAAAGAGTGAACAGTAGAGGGAAAATTTAGGAGTGGTGGTGGATGAAATATAGAGAAGAGAGAGTGAGAAGGTAATGGTTAGATTATATTTCAATAAGTAGACCCTTTCCAAACTAGGAAATAAGAACACAGATTTGAAACAACTCAAATTAAAAGAGGACACACATATATGAAACAAATGGAGTATTTTAGCTTACTCTTTGAAGGTGTATTGAGCCCTATCTATTGCTAACACTTTGACGTTGAATTGCACGGAGTAATAGCAAATCTAATGTTATCTTTTGAAAGTAAAATTACTTCATGTAATCAGTTGTGAGGTAGATTTAAGGGAACTTAAAAGCGGGGTAGGGAGAGCAAAGGCGTGGGGGGGGGAGTGAGTGTGACTATTACTTATAAACAAAGGTGTTAGAGTATTCATTGTTGAGTATGGAATGGGTGGCTCCTGAGTCTAATTTGCAGAAGGGCTGGACTGACTTGTGTGTGAAAGTATATTGTTTGAATCCGCCTCTTCGAAAAGGAGAAATAGGGTCTAGACTCTGTTCTTTCCCAGCCTCCCCCCATCCACCCAAACAAAACAAAACAAAAACTGAAAAAGATGTGCTGGACCCACCTTTGGAATGGGTTTTGTCATGGCAGTATGTTTTACAAAACATCTTGATGACCCACCATTGCATGACTCAAATCATGGATGCTATGACAGGGATTTCTTTTCAGATGTTTTATAGGGGATATTGCTCGATAGGGGGATGACGGCAGTCGGCAGGTAGGGATTAGCCACAATTGCATACTCTGTTGAGTCTATCCGTCCTGCAATGAGTTTCTCTATTTGGTCTCACAGGGGACTAATAAAATGGTAAAAAACGAGAAGTGCATTATTAGAACATAGAGTAAGTATCTTTCCAAATCGATATCTGACCAAACTGATATCTACCCGAGTCGATAATATCTCGAACCGAATCTGAACCGAACCAAACCAAAAAACACAGACAACCAAATTAATCCCGAACCTTAATAAGTTTAATATATACCCAAAATAGAACCAAACAAAACTAACCTGAACTGGACCGATTGACCCGATTGCGAGGTCTACCTATAGATGACAGCCTACTGTTGTAGCTTACGCCTGCATATCTCATGTAGGAGATGAGCAACAATCAACAAACAAGTGGAAAGGAGTGCTTAGCATCTCATCATATGCCCAATATTTTAATGTTGATACAGACATAGTCTTGAACAGATTGATGAGCTCTTTAAATCCTATGAGTGGAGATTTTTTCAGCAAAACAGATGCTAACCCTGATCTGTAAGTGTAAATACCTACACGGCATATCTTGTTTCCCCATCCCCCCGTCATAAGATTAGTTTTCATGTTCTTTAAATATCTCATTGTGTTTTCATTTGTATGAGGAATGCACCTGTTTCCCTATTCTTTGTCCTATTTCTTCTCTGCAGTATTTATTTTTGTTATTTTTGTCTTTAAATACTCTCTCCTTTTCAAAGATACTGTCTCATTTTCCATTTTGGGACATCTCATTTTTAAGGCCTCATTTCTAAAATGGTTAAAGAATGTGTAGTCCAAAATATAGATGTTTTCTCTTAAGTTTAACTAATAACATTACCAAAATGAGTGGATCAAAATAGAGATGTTTTTTTCTTAATATTTGTGTCAACATGGCACGATTCGTTAACTTTGGGACGTATGGAGTATATTACATACACAGTTTTTTAATGCTTTGCATTAACATTTCAGTTATGGGCTTATCTGGATCGCAACCACATTGGTTTTTGTAATATCTTCCTTTGGAAACTGTGCAACATATGTAATGCACAAAAGGAGTGAAACTAGTACTTCTTGGACCTTCGACGTCAGCTATGTAAATGTAGCAGCAAGCTCACTATATGGGTATTCACTCATCGTTCCACTGGGTTTTTACTTCTTGCTGCAGTATCTTGGTTCAAACGCTAGCTTGATACAGTTTTGGTGCTTGTGGGGATATTCCTTGTTCATTTATATTCCAACTTCGGTAAGCATATTATATTTTTGCCCTTATTCACACTCCTTTGATAATGACCTCTGCCAGTAAAGTTTATATGATGGAAAATGCTATGCATGCTCATTTTAAGCTTGTCCAGAATCAAGACAATTAGGAATGGAGATGAGTGTTGATTATGAAGTATACAACAACAACAACCCAGCTGGATCCCACGAAGTAGGGTCAGGGGAGGGTGTGTGTACATAGACCTTGCCCCTACCTGAAAGTAGAGAGGCTGGTTCCCTGAGACCTCCGGCTCAAGCTGCACACAAAAAGATCACACAGTAGATAAATATAGCAAGGAAAGCACATATACAACGCAAATAAAGAACCAAGCACACAACATTAAATTAAATAAAGTAAAGTTACAAAACGAGAGTATTGCAAGCAAATAGCAAATAGCACCAAGCATATAAGGCCTACAAGGCACACAACAACACCCCCTAGCTCAAGGCACCTACCCAGCGACTCTAATCCTATATTTTCAAACGCTCCTATCTAAGGTCATATCCTCAGTAAGGGCAAGAAGTCCTAAGTCCTATCTAATCACCTCCTTCCAACTC